TTTTTTTTGTTTACATTACCTATTCATCAACATATAGGTGCATCAGAAATCTATATGGTTCTAAGAAATAATACCTTCCGTACTTGAAACACTCTTTTTAACACAATACTCCATCAGTTTCCTACAAATTTTGCTTCAATGACATCCATAAAAAATGTAAAAAAAAGTTCATTAAACCTTAAAATTTACTCTTCGAGGGACTAAATCTTATGAATCACAGATTATAATTCAAAAATCTAAAATTTAACCTGTGCATGAAAACTACAGAACAATGCAATAGTGGGAACATAAAGAATTCTACCCTAATATTGAGCATGGTTTAGTTAAACGTACTTCTTCACTGGTATATACGCAAAATTATTAAATTTTTGCACTAACACATCATTTTATTCAAATTTGCCAATATTACTACCAGTTATTTCAAAAATACAATCTATTGAGTTTTACATTCTCGTCACCTTACAATCGCCATTTTAAAGCTTCTTTGAAAGAACATTTTTGGAGGAATGTTTATTCACTGGTGTGCTCCTCGCTCAGTGTCATTTAAGTTCTAAAATTTTATTCACTACATCCCCTGTTCATTTCTAACGATCAAATTAAGTAAAACGTTTTTTCGTGATTGATAAGCTGTAAAAAACTTAATAATGCAGTTTTAAAGATATCTGAGCTTAAATACGTTGCGCTGCAGCTCCCGACCACCATTAGTTACTTCTCCATCGTAGGGCTGACTTTTAAAAAAAAAGATTAATAAAAGCAAAAAATAAAATTGTCCGTCTTTTTCAAAGATCAAGTCCTTGTTTCTTCTAGGCAACTAACTTTAAAGCCTTATACATTATATAAAACCAAATTTTAAAAGAATAAACTTGCTTTTAAACTTCCGATTCTTTTATTAATGTTTTATAGGTTTTCGTTAACTAGATTTTTGGAGCTGCCGTTCAAACAATCGGCTTTTACGCTCCAAATAATTAAATATTAAGCAAAAGTTCTAAAAACTGCACCGCTGGAAATGTCTTACGTAAAACTTTAAATGCTCTACAGAAGCTCTCACCGTACTTTAAGTCACTCTTGTGTTCTACATCCTAAACATCATCTAATTCGTCTGATCACAACCTTAAACTATTTCATAGTAAAAAAAAATATTTTTAACTTTATTTAAAGCTATTTTTTAAAAATGAATAGCTCAAAAGTTGCATTAGCAGGCCTGATATTTTAAAGACAACTTCTTGGAAAAAATAATTACTGAGTGGTTTAGGAGATATCAATATCACAAAAGACGTAGTTTAGAACAAATTGAGTATTTTTATAATTATTTATAACCAGTATAGTGTACCTGTAGTTGCAGTTGTTTTCTTTAGTAAAATTACTCACATAAATTGTTTCATGGACCGCTTTTTATGCATCATTTTGGTAGTATTCGCATATACAGTAAACCTTATTTTTGCAATAAAAATATTCTAAGCTTCAATAACCACCGCCCTCATCAATAAGCAACACGGTTCTTTAAACCTAAAATAACTTTAAAGCTGCAGCAATTAAACCAACGAGAGTGGGTGTAAACCAGGACTGTTATCCTGCAGCTATTTTCGGTTTGTGGGCGCTCAGTATAGAGTGGGAAAGAAACCTTGGGTCAGTAAAACTCTCCTTTACAGAACCAGAAAGCATAGTCAAATAAAGCGATAGAAGAGATTGAAAAAAAGACTGCGATGAGTAACGCTTCCCGCAGATGACTAAAAAATTTTTATCTTACTGTCT